TTTTTTTTTTTTTTTTTTTTTTGACAGGCAGAGTGGACAGTGGGAGAGAGAGACAGAGAGAAAGGTCTTCCTTTGCTGTTGGCTCACCCTCCAATGGCCGCCGCGGCCGGCACGCTGTGGCAGGCACACTGTGCTGATCCGATGGCAGGAACCAGGTACTTATCCTGGTCTCCCATGTGGGTGCAGGGCCCAAGCATTTGGGCCATCCTCCACTGCACTGCCTGGCCACAGCAGAGAGCTGGCCTGGAAGAGGGGCAACTGGGACAGAATCCGGCGCCCCGACCGGGACTAGAACCCGTTGTGCCGGCGCTGCAAGGCAGAGGATTAGCCTAGTGAGCCGCGGCGCCGGCCTAAACCCAGAACTCTTATAAAGCAAGATTTAAAAAAGATATGCAACCCAATAGAAAGATGGGCAAAAGACTTGGATTGGTACTTATAAAAAAGAATATCCATAGCAAGTAAACATACACAGAATATTCTACCTCATCCCTTAGCAGGGAAATACAAATTAGTGGATATGTAGATAGCTATGTACCAGTAGGTATGTGAGTATTGTGGAGCCATCTACATACCGACTAAAATAGCCAAAATGGAAGACAATACTCATTTTTCTGCTGGTTGGTATAAATTGCTGCAGTGACTTTGGAAAGCAGTTTGGTATGAACTAATTTTCACAAAAGCATAACTGATAATTTAGCATTTCTGCTTCTAACTGTATACTGAACAGAAAGGGATATAACAGCACCAAGAGATAATACCCAAATATTCTTCATAGTGTTATTTGTAGTAGCTGTAAACTGTAAGAAACATTAGGGGCCAGCGACGTGGCTCACTTGGCTAATCTTCTGCCTGCGGTGCCGGCATCCCATATGGGCGCCAGGTTCTAGTCCCAGTTGCTCCTCTTCCAGTCCAGCTCTCTGCTGTGGCCCGTGAGTCCTTGGGCGCCTGCACCCGTGTGGGAGACCAGGAGGAAACTCCTGGCTCCTGGCTTTGGATCGGCGCAGTGTGCCGGCCATAGTGGCCATTTGGAGGGTGAACCAGCGGAGGGAAGACCTTTCTGTTCGTCTCACTGTCTAACTCTGCCTGTCAAAAAAAAAGAAAGAAAGAAAGAAAGAGAGGGGGGGGGAGAAAGAAAGAGAGAGAGAGAAAGAGAGAGAGAAAGAAAGAGAGAAAGAGAGAGAGAAAGAGAGAGAGAGAGAGAGAGAAAGAAAGAGAAAGAAAGATTAGATTAGATTAGATTAGATTAGATTAGATGCGGGGCCGGTCCAGTGCCTTGGCTCAGTAGGTTAAGTCTCCACCTGTGGTGCTGGCATCCCATATGGGCACCGGCTCTAGTCCCAGCTGCTCCTCTTCCATTCCATCTCTCTGCTGTGGCCTGGGAAAGCAGTAGAAGATGGCCTAGACTCTTGGGCCCCTGCACCCACGTGGGAAACCTGGAATAAGCTCCTGGCTCCTGGCACAGCTTGGGCCATTGCAGCCATTTGGGGAGTGAACCAGTGGGTGGAAGAACTTTCTCTCTGTCTCTCCCTCTCACTGTCTATAACTCTTATTTCTCAAATAAATAAATAAAAATCTTTAAAAAAAGAAACATAGATGCTCAGTATTTAGCCAGCAGAATGGATAAGTTTTGACATGCTAACATTATTTAATACTAATTAGCAAGTAAGAAAGAGTGAGGATAAAAATGTTTCATACCCGGTGAAACTTGCAAACGTGAAAGAAGACACAAAAGAGTATATGCTGTGTGTATACTGAAAACTAATTTAGGGGCCAGCGCTATGGCGCAGTGGGTTAAAGCCCAGGCCTGCAGCACCAGCATCCATATGGGTGCTGATTCAAGTCCCAGCTGCTCCACTTCAGATCCAGCTCTCTGCTATGGCCTGGGAAAGCAGTAGAGGATGGCCCAAGTCCTTGGGTCCCTGTACCCGCATGGGAAACCCAGAAGATGCTCCTGGCTTCGGATCGGTGCAGCTCTGGCTGTTGCAGCCATTTGGAGAGTGAACCAACAGATGGAAGACCTCTCTCTATCTCTCTCCCTCTGCCTCTGTCTCTCTGTAACTCTGCCTTTCAAATAAAATAAATCTTTTAAAAAAGAAAAAGAATTTGTTTTTAAGATCAGGTGTTACCCTCAACATTACAGAAATGAGAAGGAAAGGTGAGGGGAGCTTGTAGGCTTCCAGCCAGGTTTCATTTCTTGACCTGGATTACATGATATACTTGCTCACTTTTTTTTCCTTTTTTCTTTTTTCTTTTTTTTTTTAACTTTTATTTAATGAATATAGATTTCCAAAGTACAGCTTATGGACTACATTGGCATCCCCCACCCCCCCGATACTTGCTCACTTTTTGATAATTCACTATTTTCCCACTTTTCTGTACATGTTTTTTATACAGTAAAACTTTTTAAAAGGTTTTTTTTTAAAAAGTACTCACAATGAACCTAAAAAGACATACAAGTATATTGTAGAGAAAATTATAAAACAACATTGAAATATGTAAAGGCAGACCTAAAGGGAGAATTATATAATAATAATAAATATAACAATTCTCTCCTAATTGATTTTCTAAATTCAATGAATTGTCACTCAAAATTCCAGTAGGATTTTCATGGATTTGACAGGCTGACTTTAAAGTTATTATGTAAAGTAAAGAAGTATGCTTAAAGAATAAGGTAAGGGAACTTGACTTACTAGACATCAAGACTTACATATGTAGTGTATTTAAAACATCATTTGCAACAGAATAAACAAAGAAAAAGGAAGTCAAGTGATAGTCCGGAAACACACCCATGAATGTGAAAACAATGTATATGGAGATGGTAAGTCAGTCCATGGAGAAATGATGGAGATGGATTATTCAATAGTGTGTGGACCACTGATTACATTCACATGAGAAAACAATTAGATAAATCCCTTCCATGCAATAAACAAAAAATATGCTCTACGCATATTAAATGTAAAAAGGAAAATTTAAGACTTTAAAATGTAGATGTTCTATCTTTATGACCATGGGATAATTAAGGATTTTTTTAAAGTAAGATACACAAAACACATGGAACATAATGGAAACACAAAATACAATGGAAAAATAAGACATGACATTAAAGTGAAATATTGAATAAAAGACATCATAAACAACAAAATACAGACTATGAGAAGATATATGCAACTCACACAACCTACAAAGAAGTTTTACAAGGATATTCACTGCAGTGCTTTTCAATATAAAAAAATTACCTCTAACTGTTTAACAGGTAAATTGATATTTTAATACTATAGAATGCTACATAACATTGAGAATAAGTTAGTCACGTATGAGATTTAATCTTAAATGGTAATTTTGAATGAAATGCATATTTCTTAATTGTTCTTATAAAGTTTATATTTTTTAAAGATGGATTTATTCATTTGAAAGGCAGTCAGTCAGAGAGATAGAGATCACCCATCTACTGGTTCATACTCCAAATGGCCAGGAGAAGTGGCTAGGCCAGGCTGAAGTCAGGAGCCAGGAATTCCATTTGGGTCTCCTGCATTTGAGACAAGGGCCAACCACTTGGATCATAATTCACTGCCTTCCTAGGCTCATTAGCAGGGAGCTGGATTATAAGCAGAGTAGTCGGGATTTGAATTTGTGCTCTGATACAAAATGCTGGTATTATAAGTGGTGGCTTAACCCACTGGGACACAATGTGGGCCCCCCTTTTATAGTTTAAAGCCATGTAAAACAATATTATACATTGTTGCTTGATATATGTGATGTAGTAAAGAATTTAATAACATCTTTGAAGTTGATAAACTGAGTTCAGTATAAAGATTGCTATTGTAAAAAGAGAAAGGCATTTTTGAGACTTTACACTGTAATGTTGTATTTCTTAAGCTCTGTGAGAGATTTCTTAGTGTTCATTGTATTACTTGTACTTTTGGAATGCAAGAAATACTAACATTTGAAAAACTTCCAAAATAATATAAAAATTTCAGAAGACATTTACATCAAAGTGAGTTAGAGAATTGCAGTAATAGAAATAAAAATGAATGAATTTAGAAGAAAAGAGATAGTATGATAAATAAAAGCAAGACTAGTCCTTTGTTGTGTTTTAAGTAATCTTTGTTGCCTTTCTGATTTCTGTGTTGAAAATACTTTGGTGAAAAGTATTCATACTTAGATATGAAAAATGAAATAAGACCATGAAAAAATGAAAACAAGAGCGTATTAGATAAGTTCAAAAGGGTATAATGACATGAGACATTAAAAAATTATTTGACAGTGCTGTGTATAAAATCTAGACAATTTAAGTGCTTTTCTTGGAATAAATGAAATACCAAGATTGGCTTTGTAAATGCTAAAGTTTTTTAATAGACCAGAGCTTGAAAACATTGTTCCAATCTTCTTTTTTACTTTGAAAAACATACCTGATTTAAACTTTTTTTTAACTGTTACAACAAATCATCAAAGAACAGATTTATTTAAAGTATTATTTAAACTGTCACTAGGCTAATCCTCCACTTGCAGTGCCGGCACCCTGGGTTCTAGTCCCAGTTGGGGCGCCAGATTCTGTCCCAGTTGCTCCTCTTCCATTCCAGCTCTCTGCTGTGGCCTGGGAGTGCAGTGGAGGATGGCCCAGGTCCTTGGGCCCTGCACCCGCATGGGAGACCAGGAGGAAGAATCTGGCTCCCGGCTTCGGATCGGTGCAGCACGCTGGTATGCCAGCCGCGGCGGCCATTGGAGGGTGAACCAATGGCAAAGGAAGACCTTTCTGTCTCTCTCTCTCTCAATGTCCAACTCTGCCTGTCAAAATAAATAAATAAATAAATATACTGTTGTTGAACACAGAAAAATATGGAAAACTTTACAGTTCATGTCACAGTTTGTGCAGAGTGGAAACAAAGAGGTTTTTTGTTTCTGATTACAAAGGGGCTTGATTTTGTTTTGGGCAGGAAGAGGGGTACTTTTCTGTTGTGTTTGTAATATTTTCCTCTGTGGGATCAAATGTCATTTTCCAGATTCTTCAGTTCCACTGCCCATCACTGGGGATGAGAACCTTGCAAACAAAAAGCAGGAAGAGGAGATCCACAGTAAAAAGGCAGTGCCCAAAACTGCCCAGCCGGAAGAAAGCAAACCCTTGCAGAAGGAAGCTGCAGGTAACTGAACTGATTGTCAGGGTATTATTTTCTTCTGGATTTTTAAAATGAGGCTTTTCCTTAGGATTAGAAACAGAAATGTATAGTCTTTTTGAACTTCAACCCTGCAATGTCTTATTCATGTGTGAAATTAAGTATTTTTAGCTATATTTTTAGTATACTTGGGCAGGTAAAAATTGACATTATTAAAGCTCATTGAGCTATCTATGGAGAACTTTTAAATATGGTATAACCTTATTATAAATCCACTTAATGGGCTTTTTACTTCTTCTGAAAGAATATTTCAACACCATGAGATACTGACTCTAACATCACTGTTACAGAGAAGCTTTCGTTTTTTAGGAATTCAGCTTGTTTACGCTTAAGCTACCTATCCAGTTATTTCTACATCAGTGGGACTGTGCTTATTTGAAATGCCTAAAATAGCATGTTTTAATTAGGATTGTGTTCCGGGCAATGCTTCAAAATTTTACCCCCCCCCCCCTTTTTTTTTTTTACTGTTGTAAAATAAATGTTCCAGAAACAGTTTTGATTGTTTTAGTCTTGTCATTAAAAAAAAAAACCCAAAACCAGAAAACTTAGTTTTCATTGTCCTTATACATAACATCTAAGTCTTTTAGCTGTTTTCCAGAACTTTTTGAATGCTGTTTTTCACCTGTTTTCTTCACAAGTTTCAGAATCACTCAAACCATATACTTGCTCTGTTTCTTAAGGTTCTCAATTGCTTTTCTTGATTCCAGTCCCTGCTATGCAGTTAGCTTTGCTTGAAATGTCTTTCTCTTTGCATTTTAGTGTATTCCTATGCATTTTTTATCTTCTAAAGCCCAAATCAGTTATCTAGATGTTTTCTATCACATTTCTATTCAAATTATGTTTCCTTCTTTTGAATACTGAAACCTCTGTATCTGTTTCTCTAGTTGTGTGATTTTTATATGATATCCATTTATGTTTTTTGATTCCAGTTTAGAACATTTTATAAACTCATTTCTAATCTTTTTTTGTTCTTCAATACTAGTAACAATGAGTTTGCACAGCAGATATTTAAAGGCATTTAAGATATTTTTTGTCAACTTCCTATCTGTATGATGCATTTATTTGTCTCTCTCAGGTTCCGGTGGTCCTACTGCTCCAGAGCACTCAGCTCAAGTTCAAGACACAAAGTTGGGCAGCCTACCAGACTCTAAGGTCATTAAACAGAAAGAGGAGATCCATATGAAGGGCACTATTCCCAAGAAAGCCTGGCTAGAAAATAAAGAGTCCTTAGAGATAGATATTGCAGGTAATGGCACTGGAGGTGTGTGTCTCTCTCTGTGTCTGAGTCTCACTGTCTCTGTTTCTGTTTTACTCCAGTGAGAAATATGGCTTCAAAGTTTAAACAAAGATCCATTCCTCTCCTTTTTTTTTAACTTTATTATGCAAATCAACTTCAATGCTCCTTTGTCTATGTGAAAATATTACTTCTGGGAAAAAATATTCGCAACTTAGAAAACAAGATTACAAATAAATATAGTCAGCTCTTGGTGTCATTGGTTTCCACATCTGTGGATTCCACTAACTGTGGATCAGAACTGTTTGGAGAAATAATTACATCTGTGCTAAATGTGTTCAAACCTTTTTTTCTTGTCATTATTTCCTAAACAATAGAGTATAACAATTATTTACATGGTATTTATATTATATTAGTATTCTAAGTAATCTAGAGATGATTTAAAGTAAATAGGAGAATGTGTGTATATTATAGACAAAAACTACACCGTTTTGTATGAGGCATTTGTGCAGCATCCACAGATTTTGCTGTCTGTGGTGCATCTTAGAATCAAACCTCCACTGATATGGAAGGACAACTATAATTGGGCTGGTATTATTAAAAGTAAAGCATCATGTCTTTTTTTTTTTTTTTAATTTATTTGAAAGTCTGAGTTACACAAAGAGAGAAGGAAAGGCAGAGAGAGAGGTCTTCATCTGCTGGTTCACTCCCCAGTTGGCTGCACTGGCTGGAGCTGTGCTGATCCAAAGCCAGGAGCCAGGAGCCTCCTCCAGGTCTCCCACACCAGTACAGGGGCCCAAGTACTTGAGCCATCCTCCTGCTTTCCTAGGCCACAGCAGAGAGCTGGATTGGAAGTGGAGCAGCCAGGACTCAAACTGGTGCCCAGATGTGATGCCGGCAATGCAGGTGGTGGTTTTATCCACTATACCACAGCAGCAGCCCTTCATCATGTCTTAACACTAGCACAGGAGGCCAGCGACGCGGCTCACTAGGCTAATCCTCCACCTTGCGGCGCCGGCACACCGGGTTCTAGTCCCGGTCGGGGCACCGGATTCTGTCCCGGTTGCCCCTCTTCCAGGCCAGCTCTCTGCTGTGGCCAGGCAGTGCAGTGGAGGATGGCCCAAGTGCTTGGGCCCTGCACCTCATGGGAGACCAGGATAAGTACCTGGCTCCTGCCATCGGATCAGCGCGGTGCGCCGGCTGCAGCGCGCCAGCCGCGGCGGCCATTGCAGGGTGAACCAACGGCAAAAGGAAGACCTTTCTCTCTGTCTCTCTCTCTCACTGTCCACTCTGCCTCTAAAAAAAAAAAAAAAAAAAAAAAAAAAAAAAGCACAGGAAAACCTAAATTAAAGATACTGTGATAAATACAACATCAATCTGAAATTTAAAAATGACAGCAGCAATCTGAGATTTAAAAAATTACAATACAGGGCCAACATTGTGTTGTAGTAGACTACGCTGCTGCCTGCAATGCCAGCAGGTGCCAACTTGAGTCTCAACTGCTCCACTTCTGATGGGTCTCCCTGATAATTTGCCTGGGAATGCAGTGGAAGATGGCCCATGTACTTGTGCCCCTGCCACCCATGTGGGAGACCCAAAGTTCCTGGCTCCTGGCTTTATCCTGGCCCTGTCCTGGCCATTGCAACCATTTGGGGAGTGAACCAACAGATGGAAAATCTTTCTCTAACTCTGACTTCCAAATAAATAAATCTTTAAAAAGCAAATGAAAGTTTATAGTAAAAAGGAGCCACACTCAAATTTTTAATGGCATATAATAGAAAAACATAGATAATACAAGGCATTACTAGCTAGCTGCTTTATCTCTTAGAGGAAGATAAACCAGGAGCCCAATAAGGAGAGAAAGGAGTCCAGGAACTAATCTACCCATACTATGTTCTGAAAATAGTAGTTCAGCTACTCACATCAAAAATGTGTAAAATAATTTTTGGCAGTGGCACCAAATGGTGCTGGGAAAACTGGATATCCACATGGAAAAAAATGAAGCTGCACCATATACAGAAGTTGACTCAAAATGGATTACATACATAAACATTAGGACCTAGACCATAATAATGCTACAAGAAAACAGGAGTAATGCTTCAGGAAATTGAATTTGGCAGTGAATTATTGTGACATTGATAGCTCATGCAACCTGCTTTTAATGCCATATCTAAGAATCCTTTGCCATATCCATTAGCACTATGTTTTCTTCCAAGAGTTTTATAGTTTTACTTTTGCATTTAGGTCATTGGTTTGTTTTTTTAGTTAACTGTTTTATATGGTGTGAAGTATTCATGAGGATATCCAACTTCCACATTACCATGAGTTTAAAAACAAAAGAAACAAAAAACCTGTTCTTTATCACCATTGAATAGTCTTGGTACCTTTATCACAAATCAGTTCACCATAGATATATAGGTTTCTGGATTCTGGATAATGTTCCATGTTTTGTTGGTCTATATGTCTCCTTAAGACAGTACCAAACTATCTTTTTATGTAAATAAATATTATATTTTAAAAGATTTGCTTATTTATTTTGAAAGACAAAGTAATAGAGGCAGGAGAGAGAGAGAGAGAGATCTTCCATCCTCTGATTCATATTCCAAATGACTACAATGGCCGGGGCTAGTCCAGGCCTAGCCCAGGAGCCCAGAGCTCCATCTGGGTCTCCCTAGTGGGTAGCAGGGACCCAGGTACCTAGGCTGTCTTCCACTGCTTTACCAGGCACATTTGTGGAGAGCTAGATTGAAAGCAGAACAGCAGAGACTCAACTGATGCCCCATACCCCTAGCCCTAGAGCCATGTTATCTTGTTTGTAATTTTGTAGTAAGTTTTGAAATTGTGGTGTATGAGTCCTCCAACTTGGTTTTATTTTTCAGATCCATGTTTGCTATGGATCACTTATGGGTCACTTATAATTTCATATTAACTTTAAAAATCATCTTGACAATTTCAAAAAGAAGAAAGTTGGGATCTAGATACGGATTGCATTGAATCTGAGGAATATTGCCTTTTTAACAACCTGAAATTGTTCGGTCCTTAACATGGATATTTTCCATTTATTTGGATCTTGTAGTTTCTCAACAACCTTTTTAGTTTTCATTTTATGAATTTTGATTTACTTCTATTATTAATTTTGTTCCTTCTGTTCTAGTTGATGATGTCATAAACAGAATTATTTTCTTAATTTCATTTCAGTTTTCTTTGCTGCAAGTATATAAAATACAGTTTTTTTTATCAGATTGGGAAAGCTGTATTCCTAGCCTGTTGAATATTTTTATTAAAAATATTTTGAATTTATCATCAATAGGATGTAGGAAAAGCATTTGATAAATTCTATTGATTGGTTTTTGAGTGTCATACCAACCTTGTATTTCTGGGGTAATCCCATTTAGTCTTTTGATTGATCTGTTCTCTTCTTGTAATGTCTTTATTATTGAATTTTCTTATCAGGGTAATACTGACTTCATAAATGAGTTGGGACTTGTTCATCTCTTTTTTGGAAGAGTTAGTTTAAAAAACTTGTATTAGTTCTTATTTAAATGTTTGGTAAAGTTCATTGGTCAAGCTGTCTGGGTCTGGGCTTTCTTTTGTGGGTAATTTATTTTTATTTTTAATTTTTTTAAAGATTTATTTTATTTATTTGAAAGAGTTACAGAGAGATTTAGAGACAGAGAGACAGAGAGAGAGAGATCTTCCATATGCTGATTCACTCCCCAGATGGCCGCAACGGCTGGAGCTGCACTGATCTGAAGCCAGGAGCCAGGAGCTTCTTCTGTCTTCTGGGTCTCCCACACAGGTGCAGGGGCCCAAGGACTTGGGCCATCTTCTACTGCTTTCCCATGCCATAGCAGAGAGCTGGATCGGAAGAGGAGCAGCCAGGACAAAACTGGCGCCCATATGGGATGCCGGTGCTTCAGGCCACTGCACCACAGTGCCTGCCCCAATTTTTTTTTTATTATTACTAATTCAGTCTCCTCACTTCTTACAGGTCTATTCAAATTGTTACTTCCTGGGTCAGGTTTGGTGGTTTATGACTTTCTAGGAATGGCATTTGTGCATTCGGCACATGCCTGTTCATAGTTTTTCAAAAATCCTTTTTATTTTTGTAAGATCAATAGTAATCTCTCATTTTTGTTGTACGTATTCTCATTTTTCCCCCCCTTGGTCAGTCTAGCTAGTGGTTTCTTAATTTTGTTGATATTTTCAAAGAATCAGCTTTTGATTTCAATGATTTTTTCTCTTTTTTACATTCTCTGTTTAATTAACTTACACTCTAATCTTCATTATTTCCTCCATTCCTTATTTGGTTTTAGTTTGCTCTTCTTTTTCCAGTGCTTTAAGAGGGAAGTTTAGTGGTTTTAACTTGAAATCTTTCTTCTTTCTTAATATGGTTGAGCATCCCTGACTGAAACCTGAAATGCTCTGAAATCAGCAACTTTTTGAGTGCTGACATAATGCTCAAGAAGTTTTAGAAACTTTAACATTTCACATTTTGAAATTTCTTACTTAAGATGTTCAATCAGTAAAGTCATTCCAGACTCCAGAAGCTCCCAAATCTAAAGCATTCTGGTCCCAAGAATTTAGCTAAGGGACACTCAGCATGTCTAGGCATATATAGTGTACCTACATCCAATAAGTTTGTTCTCATTTGTTACCAAGTATCTTCTCATCTCCCTTTTGAATTTTTGTTTAACCCATAAGTTATTTAGGAATAATTTGTAAAAGTTCATATATTTGAGTTGTCTAAATTTTATCCTGCTACTGGTTTCTAATCTCATTCTGTTGTAATTAGAGAACATATTTTGTATTATTTCTTTCCTTTTAAATTCACTAAAGTTTGTTATATGGCCTAGCATACAGTCTATCCTGGGGAATATTCCTCATACACTTAAGAAAAAAATGTGTATTTTGAGGTTGCGTGGAATTTTCCGAGATGTTTGTTAGATCTGTTTGGTTTGTAGTATTGTTCTTTTGTTTCCTTTTTAATCTTCTAAATGTTCTATTCATTA